CCTGCCAAATCGCCCTGTGTGTGGGAGACCTGGCGGTGGGCAAGACCTGCCTCATCAACCGGTGCGTGTGGCCGCGGGCCGGGCTCTGGGGTACCCGCGAGGCCCGCTTCCCCGGGAGGCGGTGCGGGGGGCTGCCTTTGTGCCCGGTGGGCCGTCCCGACCTGGCAGCCCGGCGCCGGCTGGCCTCAGGCGCGTCTGGCTGAGCCCTCCGCGCTCTGGCCCAGGTTCTGCAAGGACACCTTCGACAAGAACTACAAGGCCACCATCGGGGTGGACTTCGAGATGGAGCGCTTCGAGGTGCTGGGCGTCCCCTTCAGCCTGCAGCTGTGAGTACGCGTCCCCTCCCGCCTGCGCCCGTGCCCGCGCCCCGCCTCGCTGACCCCTGCCCTCTGCCCCCAGCTGGGACACGGCCGGCCAGGAGAGGTTCAAGTGCATCGCGTCCACCTACTACCGCGGCGCGCAAGGTGAGGGGCTGGGGCTGCGCGGGCGAGGACGCCCCCCGGCCCCGGGCTCCTCTCACCCCCTCTCGCTCCCCTCCCAGCCATCGTGATCGTGTTCGACGTCAACAACGTGGCGTCGCTGGAGCACACCAGGTACGGGGCGGGGGCCGGCGCTGGGCCCGGCAGAGCTCAGCCGCGAGCCCCCGCACCCAGCCGCGGCTCCCTCCCCTCAGGCAGTGGCTGGCTGACGCCCTGAAGGAGAACGACCCTGCCAACGTCCTGCTCTTCCTGGTGGGCTCCAAGAAGGACCTGAGCGTGAGTGCGGGTCCTCCGACGGCCCTGCCTGGGCATGGACTGGGGCCCGAGCCAGCCCCGTGATGCCATCACCCCCCTGCCCCTTTGCCCCTGGCTGGGTGCGTGCCAGGCTCCCGCTCACACCCCGCTCCCTCTGGCAGCCGCCTGCGCGGTACAGCCTGGCAGAGAAAGACGCTCTCAAGGTGGCCCAGGAGATGCGGGCCGAGTACTGGGCCGTCTCCTCCCTCACAGGTCAGCTCTCGCCGCAGGGGTGCCCGGGGGGCCGAGGGAGCGGGGCGGCGCAGGGAGGGCCGTCACCGAGCTGCGGTCCCACCGGCAGGGGAGAACGTGAGGGAGTTCTTCTTCCGCGTGGCGGCGCTGACCTTCGAGAGCAGCGTGCTGGCCGAGCTGGAGAGGAGCAGCGCCAGGAAGATCGGGGACATCGTCCGTGAGTATCCCGGTCCTGGGCGCCGTGGGCAGGCCCCCCCCGCCGGACCCCGGGGAGCAGCACGCTGCTTGCGGCTCCTCTGGGCGTGCAGGGCTGCGACGCCCTGTGCCAGCCCGGCGGGGTAGGGGTGCCCCTGCAGCCACCCGCACCTGCTGTCTCCTAGGGATCAGCAGCAACGACAGAGACCTGTACCTGACCGCGCAGGGGAAGAGACCCAAGTGCTGCCGCTGACGGGCCACGCCAGCCCCCCGCAGCTCCGTGCCCCTACCAACGTGCTGTGGCCTGGGCACGGGGGCACTGCTGGCCCAGAAAAACACCTCCCCCAGGTTTGTGGGTCCTGTGCCTGCCCGGCAAGTGCAGCCGGGCAGGCCACGGCTCGGTGCCTGCTCCTGCCTGGCACAGACAGCTGCCCACACGCTCTGTGGCCTCTCCGCGTCCCCCTGCACTGCTTGGGGCACGGGGAAAGGCTGCCTTGGCCTCTCCCATGGCTGCTGGGAAGCCCAGCCTGGGACCGCAGACCAGGCTGAGCTGTGGGGTGCTTAGAGGGGCTGGGACCGAAGCCCCTGGGCACAGCTCCAGCCTATTTCCTATGCAAATTAGCATGTCATTAGCAGGCTTCCTGGCTTCCTCTTTTAATAAAAACTAAGCTTTTATTATTTAAAGACCAAGCTCCTACTGTGCGAGATGGGGAGGGGCGGGTGCCCCAGGCATGAAGTGCTGCCCCAATGGCTGGCATGGGGCAGCATCCCCGGGCACGCGGGGAGCCCTTGCCAGGGCAGACAGATGCAGGTGGGAGCTGCCCATGGAGGTCGATAAACCGGTGCCACAGGAGCAGATGCCCCCGTGCCCGCTGCCACTCCCGCGCGCACGTCTCCCGCCCTGGGCGGCTCCACGCGCCGGCCGCGGGGCAGCGCAGCCCCAGCACCCAGGTGGGGGTGGCTCTTCTCAGGCAGTTGCGTTCGGCGGGGAGCGGGGATGGCACGGTTGGGGCGCCGTCGGCAGGGCAGGAGCAGCTCGGTGCTCCAGGCTGAGGCTCCCGTGCAGCCAGCCCCGGGTGCCGTCACACCAGGCTGCGCCTCATCCCGAGGGCGCAGGAGGACTCCAGCTCGTGCCGGTTGAACTGGGGCATCAGGTGGTCGGGGACGCAGTGCGAGCACTTGTACTGTGCCTGGATCCAGCGCCCGCCCTCGCTGTCCTCGATGCAGACGGCAGCCACTCCTGCGAGGAGGGGGCCGCATCAGAGCTGGCCACCCGCTCAGCGCCCAAGCCCCGAGAAGAGGGCCCGCCGGGCCTTCCTGCAGCCGGGCTGCTGCCCCTTACCGGCCGTCGGGACGCGGGTACTAAGCCCGGGGCCAGGGGTGCCCAGCCCTGTCCTACCTGCGACGATGCCGCCCTGCTGCTCCACGAGCTGGATGGCTGCCTGCATGGTGCCCCCCGTCTCGATCCACTGATCCACCAGCAAGACGCGCAGGCCTGGGGAGGGGGCCCCATGTGCCAGGTGCCCCCGCGCCGGCCTGCCCTCCCCAGCCCGCCTGGTAGACTGTAGCCAAGGGCTGCGGGCACCCGGGGATGCACAGCCCCTCTCCAGAGCCGTGGGGCTGGCTGCTACTCACCTGGGGTGATGGCATCGGTCCTGACCTCCATCACCTTCTGGCGCGAGGAGTAGTCGGTGTAGGGGTGCGTGTAGGTCTCCACACACAGGTGCCCAGCTTTGCGGATGGCCAGGAAGCCCTTCTGCAGGGTGTTGGCGATGGCTGCGCCTGGACGGGAGAGTGCAGTGTCCGGGGACGTGGGCATGGAGCGGGCAGCGGGGCCAGGGCAGATGGCCACAAGGACACCGCCCTGCCAGCCCCACGTAGCAACCTCCCCGGGGGAGCTGGGCCAAGGGGGCAGGGGTTACCAAGGATGAATCCCATGGCATCAATGCCAGCCACCAGGTCAATGGGGTCCTCCCAGAAGGGCTGCAGCAGGTCGGTGATGCAGTCCTGCAGGCCCTGGGGATGAGGCGGAGCTGCTGCGGGCTGGGCCAGAGCCATCCGGGGGAGCCCCCCCGGCCATGGGGCTCGGACCTGGTGCAGCAGCTGCCAGGCGAGCTGGGCCTGTCCTGTCCTGGCACAGCCTGTCCTACCCCCCAGCAGGGACCCCCTCCCGTGCCAGCACCCAGCCGGGATCCCGGGGCCCTCTCCGCCCCGGGCCCTGCCCCGGTACCTGCTGGTTGCAGTAGAGCCGGGAGGGGTCGAGCCAGGCGTATCCGGGGCCCTTGACGTTGGGGGCCATGAGCGCCAGGTACCAGCCCTTCTCGCGGGTGTTGGGGATGCGCCACAGGTCCCTGGGCAGGAGGCGGCTGCTGGGAGAGCTGGGGTCAAGGGGTGCCGGCAGCAGGTGCCTCGCTCCCCTGTCCTGGCTGTGCCCTCAGCGGGGGCAGCTTGTCCGGGTCGCCCACCGGCTGAGCCCCCCTGGCTGGGAGCCACCAGCCTGACCCCCGTGGCACCTCTCCTGGCGCCCAGCTGAGCAGCTGCTGAAATGGACACGGCGCTGGCCCCCCGGCAGCCCGAGCCACCTGGCACTCGAACCACCCCATGGCCGCACTCTAGGACAGGGTCCGCGAGCTCCTGGCTCCGGCAGACGAGTGCGGCCAGGCCCTCGGGCCCCCCGCAGACACGGCCATGCTCACAGGCCACTGTCGGGGTCCCGGGGGCAGGCTCCCCGACTAGGCAGGCTCCTGGCCCCCGCCTTACTGGGTCACGTGCCCAGCTCCTGCGTCCCGCCCTGGCCTAGGCCCCTGTTGCATTTCAGGCCTGCCCATGCCCTGCGCCCTGCGGCGCGGCTGGGAACGGCTCGTATTGGCGGCTGCCAGGCTCAAGTGGGCACGTACCTGCCAGGCGGGTCCAAGCCGTGCCCTTGCTGCATTCAGCGATCGGGAAGGCAGGTCGAGCGCACGGTTGCAGCGCAGAGCCACTCCGTAACTGCATCCGGGAGAAGAGCAGCCTTCACGGACAGCAGCAGCTGGGAACACGCCGCCCCAGCCCCCCCCGGGCTCCCGGAGCCATTCACAATTCATTCGCCAGGGCACGGGCTGGGGGGAGGGACAGGAAATCCTTCACCAGTCTGATGCGGGGGGCAGACGGGGCATCGGCTCCCCAAGGAGAGGGGCTGCCTGCTCAGGCCCAGCCAGACCCTCCTGCCCCCCAGCCCGGTGGTCACTGCAGGGCACAGGGGCTGCTGGCGTGGCCATGCCCCCCTGCCGGGGTCCGGGCCGCTGCGCTCACCTGGAGTTGGTGTG